GCTGGATTTTTCTAACTACTACATTTACATTGTGTATATTATATTTACACATAAATATTATATTATATTATATATAATCATCATCACGATGCTGTCAAGTCAGACCAAGAGAAAGTCGGAAGATTTTGCAGTTTGCGAGACGGGAGGAAAGTGCTTCAGTGGCTTTTTTAAGGTTGCACACTGGATTCTGATTCTTGTTCTCCAGCACTTTGCCAAGAATTCCACAGGATGGTTGTATCGGCAATGTCTAGTCTGATACAATGAGTTACTTATTCATCATATGAATCATTAATGATGTAGACACTGATTATTGTTTTATTAGCTAACTTCCGACAAATCAATCAACCCCCAGCCAGAAATTTACAGGACCTTGTGACACAGTAGCAAGGTCACCTACAGACCCACGAGGTGCATAGCGTTTCTTTTCTTCCCAGCCGAGTTTCACCAAATTGAGTGTACAATTTAGGTGTAAAAAGCTACAATTCTAATGCTGTAAAGCCTTCAGCTGCAGGACTATTCACTTCTGAGACATGACAGTGACAGCTACTGACCTGGGCTGGGTTCAGTGAGTGGTCCTCCTCATCCCAGAGGGTCACCTCTTACAGGGATAGAAAAGAAAAGATGGCCATGCTCCAGAGAGAAGCCCAGTGTAGGAGGAATCATAAGCACTGTGGACCACAGCCTCAACTCTGCTTAATCTTAACCAACCAGTGTGAGAAACCCACCAACAGAGAGACCATGTATTTCTGTATTTCTGGTTGCCCTCAAGAGAACAAACACCAAGTCTGTATATACCAGACCTATCCTTGTCTGATATTTGAAGTTTCTGTAGGTTTGTTGCCTAACCTAATCTTGCTAATTATGGTCAATTCTCTTATTCCCATCCCTAGTCTTAGGTCTTCAGTAGTTAGAAAAAGGTAACACTTCTGTCTACAATTTCCGGACCTTTCTCGCTCAGTCTGTGGAAGTAGTAACCACTGGCTCTGTCAGACAGAACAAGCTGATGTAAGTGCCACCCTCAGGTGGGCAGCACTGTGGTTTGTAAGTCCCTGCCTTCCAAGCTCCTGTTCTTTCCTCAGGGACCACACACACCTCTGCATGCCTGCAAAGGCCTTTGGTAGCAGAGAACAAAGGTTGAACAGTGTGCTCTTCCCTACCTGCTCAAGAGCAGGCTGTTTCAGAGTGGGACCTGACTATTCTTATTTTTATTTTTTGTCTTTCAGCCATTTTATTTTTTTTTAATTTATTTATTTATTAAAGATTTCTGTCTCTTCCCTGCCACCGCCTCCCATTTCCCTCCCCCTCCCCAATCAAGTTCCCCTCCCTCGTCAGCCCAAAGAGCAATCAGGGTTCCCTGCCCTGTGGGAAGTCCAAGTCTGTCTGTCTCCTCTTTCCCGTCCCGACCCACTTTCCTAGTGTTGTGTTTCTTCCTTGTCTCGCTGGCCAGCCCGAGGTGAACCCCTCTCCGTCCCCTGCCGCCTCTGGGCGGGGGGTGGGGGGGTGGAGGGGGTGGGGGGGTGGAGGGGGTGGGGGGGTGAAGGAGGGTGGGGGGGTGGAGGGGGGTGGGGGGGGTGGAGGGGGGTGGGGGGGCGGTGGAGAGGGGACTGTGCCGCAGTCAGCTCTTATCCGAAAGGAAAAAGCTCATAGACTCTTAGCGGTGGATCACTGGGCTCGTGCGTCGATGAAGAACGCAGCTAGCTGCGAGAATTAATGTGAATTGCAGGGACCTGCCTATTCTAAAGGAGGAAGTGAGCTCATTCTTAAAGGAAGCATTTGAGCTTCCCTTCCATGTCTGTTTTCTCCTAAGGTCTAGAGTAGTCAACACGATACAGAAAGGCCCTGGTCTCCAGGGAGCTCTCTTTGAAAGAAGACCTCCGATAAGTCAATGAATGTACTTTGAGTCAACAAATAGCTCCAAGTAGGAGGTCTCTGCATCACTCATAGTCACCAATGTTGAAGACCAACAAAAATATTTTCTACAAAACTAGGACATGGCTTTGAAAAGAAATGAAAGCAAATGAGTCACAGACATTGAAAAGTACTTGCACTTTATCATATAGATCCACATCACAAGAACTGCAATTCTGGCCTCCCTTTCCCTGAATGTCGTCAAGGAGACACAGTAGGCCACAGTTCCCAAGGAGCCCAAGCCTTCAGGGACATATAGCTAAGTGGAACTAAGGGTTCCCAAGTCAAATCCTATTCTCTTTTCTTACTATATGCATCACATGACAAAGCAAACAGAATACCTATGGGTGTCTGGTGTGGGACCATGGTCTGTATTCTCTGAATTATATTTAGAATAAATGCTGATTGGCCAGTAGCCAGGCAGGAAGTATAGGTGGGACAACCATACAGGAAGTAGAGGTGGGTCAATGAGAACAGGAGAATTCTGGGAAGAGGGAAGCCCATTCCTCTGCATTTCTGACCTGACTACAGAAGTGGCAAGATGTGACTGCCCCGCTAAAGAAGGTACTGAGCCACATGGCTCACATTGACAAGAATAATGGGCTAATATATGCTATAAGAGTTAATAAGAAGCCTGAGCTAATGGACCAATCAGTTTATAGTTAATGTAGACCTCTGTGTGATTTCTTTGAGACTTAAGGATTGCAGGGACCGGGCACGACAGAAACAGGTGTCCAGAAGGGAAATTTTTTTTTTGACTTTAGGAAAACTGATTGAAGAATCAGAATAACCTAATGTATCAATATGTCATTTTTTTCTTTCTTTGTAGAGATGGCCATGTATCACTCTAAGAAGAAAATGTATAGATTCATTGACAAAGAACATAATTCTTTCTTTAAAAAGAAAAAAAAGAAGGGGATGGAGCAATGGTTCAGCATGAAAGAATGATCACTGCTTTTGAAGAGACCTGGGCTCAGTTTCTAGCACCCATGCCAGGTGGCTCCCAACAACTGTGACTCTAGTTCCAGGGGAATCTGTCCTCTTTTGGCCTCCACATGCCTCTGGATGTACGTGGTGTATATAAGTCCACATGGGCACACACATAAATAACAAATCTTTCTTCAAAAAAAGAAAATGCCTACTCTGTGTCAAACAAAACCTCAAATGACCAACTCTTGCAAATATGTTGAATGTCTGAGTGTGACTCAGGTGGGGACACACGGCTCTAGTGAGTGTTCATGCTGAATGCTAAGTGTCACTCAGGTGGGGACACAGGGCTGTTGGGAGTGTTCATGCTGAATGCTAAGTGTTACTCAGGTGGGGATACCTGGCTTTAGTAAGTGTTCATGCTGAATGCTAAGTGTCACTCAGGTGGGGATACCTGGCTTTAGTGAGTGTTCATGCTGAATGCTAAGTGTCACTCAGGTGGGGATACCTGGCTTTAGTAAGTGTTCATGCTGAATGCTAAGTGTCACTCAGGTGGGGATACCTGGCTTTAGTGAGTGTTCATGCTGAATGCTAAGTGTCACTCAGGTGGGGATACATGGCTTTAGTAAGTGTTCATGCTGAATGCTAAGTGTCACTCAGGTGGGGACACACGGCTCTTGGGAGTATTGGGCATATTTGTCCTTGTGTTCCTTTTTCCATAAAAAATTATTAAAATTATCTATCTTAACTGTGTTAGTACCAAAATAGATGCAACTCAGATTACATACTATATATTCATTAATATATTTATATTTTTCTTATACTTGGAAAATACGTTAAAATTAAAACATTTTCATAGGCCACTACAGTACCTCTGAGAACAGTGTCTAGTGAGTAAACCGGCTTCAGACCACAAACCCTTGGTTTTGTGAGCCCTTGAGATAGACACAGGTAAGCAAAAGAAATTCCAGTACATTTCCTGGCTGTGATGAAGACCCGCAGGGGGCAAAGCAGGTCTCCACAGTTAACAGAACTCCCATGAGTTCTGACACCCCAAAGAATCCTAACTTCATTGAAAGATGGTTTTTGCGACAGCTTTGAACTCTTCTAGAATAGTTCGGCAGAGCCAACATTTTCCACTCCAGCGAAGCATTGTTACTTTGTGGGTTGAGCCAAGGTCTAACCCAGTGGTTCTCAATCAACGGGTCATGACCCCTTTGGTGCCCGAAAAACCCCTTCATGGGGGTTGCCTAAGACCATCAGAAAACACAAATATTTCCATTATAATTCATAACGGTAGCAAAATTACAGTTATGAAGTAGCAATAAAAATAATTTTATGGTTGGGGTTGACAATAACATGACGAGCTGTTTTAAAGGGTCGCAGCCTCAGAGAGGTAGAGAATGACTGCTTTAACCCATCCTGGGGTTTCAGTTCCTTTTTCTTTTTTGTCTTTTTCCATGTTGTCATAAAATTGAAAGTATAAACATCCACATGCACAAAAGAGTAAGAGCACTGTGCTTACTCGATAAAGTTCCTATCACTTTGTGAAACTTTGATGTGGGATCGAGCAATGCTCATCACTTGGCAAACAGCCTCAGCTGTGGTCAGAGTCGGCTCCGCTCCGACAGTCGGAGAGGACAGACAAACTTGTGCCTGGAACTGTCCCTTCCTTTGCCTTTTCATCATGACAGCATCCAGACACCATCACCACAACATCAGAGTGCGATTTCTAAACTCGAGGAAGAGCAGCCAAAAGGGACAAAGAGAACATTGACCAATGACAAGCATCTAAAAGGAACATGAACTCATTGGCTTGGAGCAGGCTAACCGGAAGAGGCAGGCCAGGCAAGGAGAGATTCTTTCTGATCCTGTGTTTACCCTGTGTGTTTTACCAGGAAGCAAGCATTGTCTTCCAGTTCATGTACTTTCCTAACAACAGTTCTTATTCTGGATAGCAAGAGAGTTAAGCATTATTTTAAAATAGGTTTTTTCAAGAACCTAATTAAAAATTAAAAAATTGGCTTCAGCATATATTCATAAATATATATAAATTTAATGAACATAAATTATAAACATTAACCTTTTGTCACATATTTAGTAGTTAAGTGGCCAAAAAAGAGACAACCCGGAACAGGAAAGTGAGAAAAAGGGAACCAGCTTACTTTCACAGATGGCACTGGCTTTTCTGACGTCTTTACCCACGACTCCCACTGTCCGTCCTCACCTATAGTGGAGACAAAAAAATTACTGATTTATTAAAATGTTATGTTTTTAGAATTATCTTTATTTATTCGTTTTCATGTGTGTGTTATATGTGCACAGGGATGGAAGACAGAGGAGGACACCAGGTGTCCTGCCCTATCTTTCTCCATGTCCCTGTTTTCAGAAAAGAATCTGTTTTCAGAAAGGAGCAACTCAGAGTGCTCCTCCTGTTTCCGGCCCACACAGCTATGGGGTTCTAGGCACATGTGGTCATACTTGGCTGGTCACATGGGTGCCAGACATTTGAACTCAGGTCCTCACGCTTGCACATAAGTTCTTACATACTGAGCCATCTCCTCCGCCCCGAAACGTGGATGAGATATTAGCGTTAACTTAAAGCAACAAGTGAGGATTAGTAGCCACAAGGCCAGAATTTACCAAGAAACTGTCACAGCAATTCTAAATAATCATAAAAAGAATTAAAATCCCACAAATCTTAAAGGAGGTCATACTGAAACGACACCGATGCCCACTTATCTTTCATTTTCTTCTTGGCTCAAAAAATTCAAGACTTGAACTTTTGATAGTTCTGAAAGTCAAGAATTCCAACCATTTTCCCCAAACCCGGAAGTGCTTCTCCTAGTGGAGGGAGGATGAACCCAGAGGCCACAAAGCAGGGAAGAAGAGGGGAGTAAGATGCCAGTCAGTCTCTGCTGCAGCATCTCTAAGATCCAGCCTCCAAGGCCATGGCCAAGGACCCTTGAGTTTCTCTCCATATCTCTACCCATGAATTCTTCTCAGCTTCCATCTCGATGAGGCAGTTGGAAGGTGGAGTCTTCCATCTTACCTCTAGAAAAATAGAATTTCTGTTTTTGTCTCTTCACCGTGTTTGAAAAGGAGGAGTCGTAGACACCTCAGTGTTCAAAGTTTCAAGATACGCACTGCCCAAGGGAAGTCAGTGTTGTCAGTTTTTAAAAGAAAAGCAAATGTGCTTAGAAATTTAACAATAGTACATCTTTTTTAGAAATATTTTTATCTAATGCATGTGGGATTTGGGCGTTTTGCCTGAGTGTATGCATGAGCACCATATGCATGCAGTGCCTGAGGAGGCCAGAAGAGGGCATAGTTCCTTAAACTGGAGTTACAGAGGTTCTGAGCCACGATGTGGGTGTGAGGAACTGAAGCTGGATCTTCTGGAAGAGCAGCCAGTGCTCTTAACCACTGAGCCATTTCTGTAGTCCCCCGACTCCATATCTTCATGAACATGCTAGCAATTATTCTAGGTGACTGATGGGAGGGTCAAAATAAGAATGTAAGAGAGAAGAAGAGCTTGTTGAGTAACGGCACAGGAAGCGAGGTATGGGGGTGAAGGATGACCATTGTTAGAACAGTCCGAAAAAGCAAGAACTTGTAAAACATTTGAAAAAAATCCACCCAATAAAATCTTTTTATAATATTTAGTCCTACCTAAAGATGAAATCGTAGCTCTCACATTAAAATGAGTAGGTTAATTTTATCTCATATGTGGGGAGTCAAAACAAAGGAATTTGAAATTTGCTTATGACTCAAGTAAGTGATGCCGTTTTAGTTTTAAACTGGAGAAAGCAAAGGGATGAACTAAATATTTAGTTTCTGTTAAGCTAGAAAAGGACCGTGTGTGTGCATGTGTACAGATATAAGGAAGAACGCACAATTTAATTAGTTAAAATTAAAAGCTGCTTCTTTGCAAATTGTGGAACCACAGAGACTTGGTTTTGGAAAATGTAGCCTTAAAACCAAACACGAGAAGAGAATTATTCAAGAAATGCAAGCCAGACATGGAAAAGATTTTAACATGTAGAGTATTGAAAAGTATCTTCAGGGGCCAATGTGAGCATCTCAGTGAGAAGTTTTCTAAGCTGATATTTAATGATCAGAACTGAACCCAAAATAGAAATGCTTGAAATATGAACCAGTACGGTTTATTTTAAAAATCTCCAAACTGCAGTTTAAAAAGAGGCCGTCTGATTGGCTTGCTGAAGCAAACCGAAGACTCTTCACCAAATCTACACAAAGAAACAAAAGTAAGGCACTTCTTTGATTCAAATAAGATGCAAGGATTCTAAACAGAGAGTGCTGCAGCCAGTTTCTAATTAACGTCACATCAGTACGGGGACTGTTCTACAGGTATTCATCCAGAGAGACACTGTGCGTTATCAGAAGGCAGGAAGAGCTTCAGCATCTGACACTGCGCTCCATCAATATCCAGTATGGTGTTTGATAGTCTTACAAAGTGCTTTAAATACAGAAAAATAAAAAAAAATAGAAGATCACTATACAATAGTAAAAGGGAATATACAGACTAGTTACCACCATGAGCAGGCGACAAGGCTGTACACTTAGGCAGCACAATAGAGTTTGTTTGCTTGTGGAACCCAGGGCCTCATGCTTGGGGTGTGGCTAGTGCTCTACTCCCAACCCTGAGAGAAAGATTTTTCTTGTCTTTTTTTTTTTTTAAAGAGGGAGGGTGTTATGAGAAAGGGTCTGCTATCCCAGGCTTGCCTTAATTCACTATATAACTGGGAATGACCTCTAATTGATCCTCTTGCCTCCACCGCCCAAATGCTGGAATTATGGGGTTCATCACCACCCAACTTGGCTTCCAGGAGAAAAATCATAAATGATAAGGAAGTGCACAAGTTTCACGAAATGATCTAACGCACAATATGCAAAAAGCAAGGGGTTTTGTCCAATAACAGCCATGTCTAGTCACAAGGGATTGAGAATGGAGATTATCATCAAGGAGACATAGTCAGAAAATATTACCCTCGTAAAAGACACACAGAAGACAGTAACAGAGCAATTTGGGGTCAATAACAGTTTCTTCATGAGAAATGGAGAAAAGTAGACATGCGTTTGGTTTTTCAGAAGAACAGCAACACTATACTGTTAGGAAATTCAATATGAGGTAAACCAGCACACTGGTATTTTTGGCCTGATAGGAATACAAGGCAAGTGGGGGAGGGAACATTTACAAGCAGCGGGGATTATTTATAGATGAACACCTGGGAACCTCATCGGCTGCTCTGTAAATTCAATATGGGATAAAAAAAATCAAGAATATTTGATTATTTGGCCTTAAGTGCAAAATCCACTAATGGAGTGTGCTTGGGGCATTAAATACAAATAGAATTCGATGTAAAAACAAAATAAACTTTCATTACACTTCAGAAGGAAGGTTAGGGAAATGTTATAAAATAACCATCAATGTTATATATATGCCAAGAAAATGCTGATCACCCTTAGCTGAATCATGGCAAAACAAATCTCATTTTATTGCTTTTGGCCCAAGGACAAGGCTAGGCTTATAGTCTGTAAGGCAAGCAAGGCGATGTTTAAAGTCAGTTACAAAGGCAAAACCAGGTAATGTGAGTTCATGTATAAAAATAAATAAAATGTCAGGGTTGGTTTTTTATAAAGAGGAAACATGAAGTCCAATATAGCACCATGTCCTTTTAACTCCAGTGTCTAAAATAAGCTAGCTCACCTTTAATTTTTGGTGACATTCAGATAGAAGCTGAAGAGCTGGGGCAACAGCTACAGCATCAAGTCTAGATATTCCAGAATGAATGCTAACAAAATCGCCCAGGGAAGGAACCAATGCTGCTTTTTATATGTAGGACGACAGGAGAAGGATTGTTATGTGACTAGCTAGAAACAGTTTTCAATGCATGGTCTTAAAAGGACCAATTCTGCCGGGCGGTGGTGGCGCACGCCTTTAATCCCAGCACTCGGGAGGCAGAGGCAGGCGGATCTCTGTGAGCTCGAGGCCAGCCTGGTCTACAAGAGCTAGTTCCAGGACAGGAACCAAAAGCTACGGAGAAACCCTGTCTCGAAAAATAAAAAAAAAAAAAAAGGACCAATTCTACTTCGGATAACTCCTGTACAAAGTTTCCAGCATGCACATCTTCCATAAGATGTCACTAAGTTGACAGATAGCAGCCCCACAGATAGCAACCTTCCCCCCACTCCGCCATGGATTTGTTACTTCTGTGAGTAAAACCCATAAACTTCCTATATGAGTTAACCAACAAGGCAAAAGACCAACAACAAAATTCTCTCAATATCCCCCGAAATTTCTAGAAAATATTTTTAAAACCCAAACCCTGGATGATCAAGTAGACAAAGACAGTGTTTTTGAGGCAATCTAAAATTTGAGGACATGAAACTTCAAAGGCTTTCTGTTTGAATCAGAGTCTTGCTTCTCCCTGGGCCTGCCTGCCATCTTGGGGCGCCATTCCACAAATGTCCCACCTGTCCCTTTGATCTGAGAATGCTGCTAAGGTGTGCTGGGATTCCGATCCACTGCGACATTGAAACTCTTTCTTTCTTTCTTTCTTTCTTTCTTTCTTTCTTTCGTTATGATTTTTTTATTGAAAATAACTTTTTCATAGAACATATCTGATCACAGATTTTCTTCCCTCATCTCATCCCAGATGCAGCACCACTCCTTCCTTTTCTTTCCTTAAAAAACAAACAGGCAAATAAACAAACAAACAGGAATAAGAAATAACGAAAAGCACAAGAAACACATACATACAGAAACACACACACACACACACACATACAGACACAGACACACACAAAACCCATAAAATATAAAATCAGAAACCATAAGACACAAGAGAAAGATCAGTAAAGTAACGCAAAAATGAAAACAAAACACCCCAAACAATGCAATATGAGACAAAAATCTCCAAAAAATACCACTGAGTTCATTTTATGTTGACCATGTAGCGTTAAGCATTGGGCCTGACCTTAAGTGTGGTTTGTATGCCTGGTGAGACTCCAATAGAGGAAACTAATTTTTCCTTTGCAAGTATATGTCAAATGGAGATAGCTTCTTGGTTAGGCACGGGGGCTTGTGTCTACTTCCCCTCCCAGGGATAGGACCCCATATTGCTAGGACATGTGCAGGCCCCATGGATACTCCCACAGTCTCTGTGAGTTCACAGGTACATCAGTCCTGCTGGGTCTGGATGA